GTTCTCCATGCTCGGGGCACAGGTCGCCCCGAAAGTTGCACGTTCGAAGTAAACATTCATGGAAACAAATTTTAATAACATCATGATTAGCTTCTTATTGTTGCCAGTTACTTCTTCTAAGTCCGAAATATTTCTGTACTGTACTATATAATATCGTCGAAATGAACTGATGTTGTGATATTCTGGTTCTTCTTACTACACGTAAGAGTGATATACACTGAATCTCCAACCCCAATGTAGATAAATTTGGTTAGATACTACTTCCCAACTGAGTGAGTTCCTCAATATCAATTGTCGAGTATTTCTCCGTAATTTCTCTCTTTCAATCATTGGTACAAGAATCTAAAGTATCAAACCTGAAGGCGATAACGTTTGAAGATTTTTTCGAATCCATTCTACAATCCATTCTACAATTCTTTGAATCCACTCATTTGTGCACAATAATTATGAAACTCGTGGAAAAGAATCGTCTACCACTTTTATACTAATGAATATCCGAGATTCCCAGTTCCAAATCATCCGAACCAACGAATTTCGATGAGTCCAAACCAGAATCGCATGATAATAAGCAAAATCATCACAAAAACATATCCACATTGTACAACTGGAAAACAAGGGTTGGAGCCATGGTACATCTTAGCACAATACCCGAAAAGTAAAAGATTCAAAAAAACGGAGTCCAGTAGTCTCGTTACTTCTGTTTCTCAATGGATTGCATGAAACAACTTGCTTGTTAAATCTCCTCAAGAAAGAGAAGGTTTCCTGCAGTACCACGATCTTATAGATATAAGTACTAAGTCTGGCTCTCTTTTGTTATCAGGGACAACAGAACATTACCGAGCTGAGCACCATTCGCTCGCTCCAGTTCTACTTCATTCTCCTCACTAAACGGACAGATCACCGCAGAGAAGGACCTGCCAGTACGATTTGAAGGAATCTATCGGCGAGCATGCACGTGGGACATCCATGAGTCCGAAGGCAGCACTTTCACTGGGATCGCATGCATGGGCACACAGCAAACTGGAACGAGTCCTGAGCAAAGGGGTGCAGGAGAAGAATGAATATGATGTCTGAGAACCACCGGGTGCATAATTGTGAATTTAACTTCTTCATGGAAAATTACACGGAAACGAGCGCAGCCGCCAGCTCCCGGGCTCCACGAATGCGCAAAGTAGGCATAAGCTCGACTGCAGTCGCTTCGAACGCCTTGCGAGTGATGGAATCAGTAAGAGTGATGCGGAAGCATGAGATTTGCTTCGTACTTGAGAACGGGAAAAGCTGAGTTGAGAGACACTGCGCTGACTGTCAAGTAGCCTGACACTCCTCTGAAGGAGCCCGTGCCAGAGCTGATGGCCTCCTCCCAAGACGGCGCGGTGAAGTCGATCCTGGCAGAGCCTGACATGGTTCCGGAGTAGCCGTGAATCGTGATGTCCAGCGCGAAAGAAATGAACTTCTTGCTTGGATCGTTGAGTGAGACTAAAACGCCGGATTGGTGCCCGATCTGAGCTGAAGCATTGGAAGCTGTCTTTCTGATAACGCTGTCGAAGACGATGATATCGCCGAGTTGAAATGGGCCCGTGAGAGTGGCGTTGGCGCCGGCCACTGCTACAGCCGTAACGTTGGGCGGCACGAAGTCGTCGTGCAGGTAGTACGTGAAATTCACGGCCTTCATCTTCATCTTCATGGCGCTCGCAGGGGTCCACAGTCCTGAGGAAAGGATACACAGGGCACAGAGAAACACGCCCAGAGTCCACGTCCCATTAGTTCTTTCCATGCTGTGGCTGTGAATTCGGAGTTCGAGAAGTCGCTAGTTTCAGAAAAAGAGGGTGAGTGATCAGCTACTCAAGATATCGCTTCTAGGAGTCTGTCAATAGATGGCCTTTGTCCAGGCGAATGCGGATGATCCCGAGCGCTAAAAAGTGGTTCTAGCGTCAAGGAGATCGAAAAGAGTGATCCATGCTCACAACTGCAACACATGCTTGCTTATATAAGGTCGTACACGTGAGGAGTTGCGGATCGTTTTATCTTTTCAATTTCAAGATCTGGATCCCGCAGCCACGTCCATGGCCCACAGCGTCATTGGAGGCGCTCGATGCCCGGTCCCCGGTCCGAAGGAAGACCGGATCTCTTAGAAAGACCTCCAGAACTTCGGCCAAATTGCGCTGCCTGAAGTGTGGGAGATCGTGAAGGAATCCCATCATAGCCTCAGCCTTTGCTCTTTGCTCTTCGTTAGCGTCGCATCTGATCCTGCAATATGGCGTGAGTGAGAAGGGTCAAAGCAGCCTGTGAAGCTATTTCGTCGAGTTTGAGATTATTACTAGGGCTCCGATCGGGTGGGGTTCGGGTCGGGTTTGACCTTCAACCCGAACACGACACGAAAAACCGGGTCGATTTGGGTAGAACCCGAATCGATCCCGCGGGGATCCATGATCGTGAATGTACGGCGAGGGAGAATTGGGGAAGGGAGCTTCGAGTATTTTTTTGACGAGGAGGCGATGCGAGAATTTTTCGAGAAGTCAGGACGAATAGCATAGGTAGCGCAGCGCGACCAGCTAGACGCAGAAGCGAGCGAGCAAGAGGCGGGACGAGGAGCAGAGTTTCGCGAAACGGAGTGGAAGCCAATGCAGACGAAGAAGGACTAGCCGAGCTCTTCTCGGTCATTGCTTTACTCATTTCACCATAATCATTTCGGATATCTCCCAGTTGTTGTCATCAGCAACCTTCAACGATTTACAGAACGCTACGCTACCGACACTTGAAAAAGATTCGCGAGGATGCATTCAGGGTCTCGTCGCTTCGGTGAATCACCCGATCGCAGCCTAAGCTCCTTGCCTTGTTTTTACAAAAAGTCTATCCCGGAGGTCTCGGATAAGTAAACATCGTATCAGCTCGCACAGCTTAATTTTCGGGTTTCGGGTCGTGTACAGCCCTCTACCCGAACCCTATCCGACCCGAACTCGGGTTTTCGGGTTTTACCCTAACCCGACCGGAGCCATAATAATTACCAGACACAAACAGGAAGACCCGCTTAAGTCTGTGCTAGCAGCGGTATTGAGCCATGGTGTAACTACGGACAATTCCGTTTCCTTGGTTCTGCCATCCGCAGCCATCGTCTACCCGCGGAGCTTCAGTTTATTTGGCAGGATAAGCTTTTCTTCCCCTGAATTCATAGTGCATGGACCATAATTTTCGTCCTCCGGGGACGAACAACGGCGAGTCGTAGGCAGCTGCTTACTGTGCTTGCTCTTCTCTGCCACTTCCAAGTCTTATGAGGGTGGTGACTACGGGGTATCTGGGACATTGTGTGCCCTACCCTAAAGGAGAATAATGGTCTGCGTTATAGTCTTCCTTTCCTTTCCAGATCCAAAACATCTACCGCACTGTGGTTGAATTTCTCCATTTTCATGTATTCCGGCCCACCTAGGACAAGAATGTGAAGGGAGAGATGGCAAGAGCGTACAACAAAGTAAATTCATATTTTATGAAATACTCGGAACCAACAACATTGTTTCAGTTTCCTTGAGGTGAGTTTCGGTGCCATAACCTTTTTGGCATGTAAAACTGAAAAGGTTTAGCATGCCAATGACCTGACAAGTAACATATTCGTATAAAGTCGCGAAGATGATATACTCAAGGATCGGAACATGGACTGCTCGCTCTCTAGGAGACGACGCATCACACTCAAAGAGTTCGATCACCCACTAGTACAATCTGGGGTTGTCGGATCGGGGGATCTATCTGATTGAGAATATAATCCATCATCTTCATGCGAGCCCAACTGTTCAGCCTCTTGCGAGTTTCTGTGACTTCGATGAGAGACGTGTTACTTGGTGTAGACTAGAAAGAAAAAATATCACCTCACGGAAAGAGCAAGAAGAATCCTTTGCAGCGACAGTCTCATTCCTTCCAGACGAGAGAGTAAGCAACGAAAAAACAACTTGTGACTTGCTTGATTCATACCTTCGATGGGGTTTCTTAAGGCAAAGCAAATGTCCTCAGGACTGATAAACTATATAAATAAACAAATAATTGCATGAAAACGTAAAAGCAGGAGAGGTCAGTCGTGGAAGTATTCTTTCTTGACCGATTTGGAGAATCTTATTAGGGTGTTACAAGGGATTTGGTTTAATGGGGTCAGTCCTCTTCCGAAACTCGTGCAGTTACAACGAAGCCTTGGACTGCATGGTTGGTGCAGAGAACATTTAATTGTGGAAAGAAACGATCGGCTTGTAGTTTTGTTTACAAGTACTGACGTTTGAAGGAGAACGAGATTTGGTACTGATGATACAAAACAACCTTGAGCTTGTGAGCATGTTCCACGACATGAGCAGATTTGCCGCAAAGGAACGCCAATTCTAGGTCAGCTGGTTATCTGATGGTAGCAGATGAACTCATGGTTTCAAGAGCAAATATATATGTCAATGGTGTTTCCCTCACGTGCTTCAGCTCTCACTGGATCTGGCGATAGTCTACAACAACAAAAAAACATGTTCTTCGACAAACGGCGAACTTAACTTCTACAGCGGAGGAAGCGATTTCTGCGTCTGGAGACTAAAAGAAGATCAGCGTCTCAAGGTGAAAGTTGAGATCTAGATGCCCCCTGTAGAGAATGGTCATGAAAAGAAACTGATCCCCTTCCTAAGAGTAGCCATGAAGAATATGAAATGGGTTGCCTATGTACTGAAAGAACATTGACACACGTTGCATTATAAGTTGTAGCAACGATATTATCTCACCTTCATGATAATTCAAGTCTCTTGAAATCAAAGAGAAAAGAAACCTATATGTTTTCCAAATGAATCACCCTGAATAACAAAACTGCTCAATCCATGATTTTCTGTTGATGATGAACTTACTCATCTCAATCTTCATATGATTGGGAGAAATTTGGAGAGGAATTATTTTTTACTTGAATTTTGGCACAGCTCGTCCTTCTATACTCCATGATCAGAAAATACCATCTTAATGAATTTCTCTGCATATTTTTTATCATGCAACAAGCACCATACCAAGAAGCTTCTACCGAAGTTCTGGAGGTCTTTCTAAGAGATCCGGTCTCTTTGGCCTATTCTGCGACTTCCTTCGGACCGGGGACCGGCCATCGAGCGCCTCCAATGACGCTGTGGGCCATGGACGTGGCTGCGGGATCCAGATCTTGAAATTGAAAAGATAAAAAGATCCGCAACTCCTCACGTGTACGACCTTATATAAGCAAGCATGTGTTGCAGTTGTGAGCATGGATCACTCTTTTCGATCTCCTTGACGCTAGAACCACTTTTTAGCGCTCGGGATCATCCGCATTCGCCTGGACAAAGGCCATCTATTGACAGACTCCTAGAAGCGATATCTTGAGTAGCTGATCACTCACCCTCTTTTTCTGAAACTAGCGACTTCTCGAACTCCGAATTCACAGCCACAGCATGGACAGAACTAATGGGACGTGGACTCTGGGCGTGTTTCTCTGTGCCCTGTGTATCCTTTCCTCAGGACTGTGGACCCCTGCGAGCGCCATGAAGATGAAGATGAAGGCCGTGAATTTCACGTACTACCTACACGACGACTTCGTGCCGCCCAACGTTACGGCTGTAGCAGTGGCCGGCGCCAACGCCACTCTCACGGGCCCATTTCAACTCGGCGATATCATCGTCTTCGACAGCGTTATCAGAAAGACAGCTTCCAATGCTTCAGCTCAGATCGGGCACCAATCCGGCGTTTTAGTCTCACTCAACGATCCAAGCAAGAAGTTCATTTCTTTCGCGCTGGACATCACGATTCACGGCTACTCCGGAACCATGTCAGGCTCTGCCAGGATCGACTTCACCGCGCCGTCTTGGGAGGAGGCCATCAGCTCTGGCACGGGCTCTTTCAGAGGAGTGTCAGGCTACTTGACAGTCAGCGCAGTGTCTCTCAACTCAGCTTTTCCCGTTCTCAAGTATGAAGCAAATCTCATGCTTCCACATCACTCTTACTGATTCCATCACTCGCGTTCGAAGCGACTGCAGTCGAGCTTATGCCTACTTTGCGCATTCGTGGAGCCCGGGAGCTGGCGGTTGCGCTCGTTTCCGTGTAATTTTCCATGAAGAAGTTAAATTCACAATTATGCACCCGGTGGTTCTCAGACATCATATTCATTCTTCTCCTGCACCCCTTTGCTCAGTACTCGCTCCAGTTTGCTGTGTGCCCATGCGTGATCCACGCAGCATACGATCCCAGTGACAATGCTGCCTTCGGACTCATGGATGTCCCGCGTGCATGCTCACCGATAGATTCCTTCAAATCGTACTAACAGATCCTTCTCTGCGGTGATCTGTCCGTTTAGTGAGGAGAATGAAGTAGTAACAGGATCGAGCTGGTTCTCAGGTCGGTAGTGTTCTGTTGTTCCCTGATAACAAAAAGAGAGCCAGACTTAGTACTTATATGTATAAGATCGTGGTACTGCAGGAAACCTTCTCTTTCTTGAGGGGATTTAACAAGCAACTTGTTTCATGCAACCCATTGAGGAAACAGAAGTAACGAGACTACTGGACTCCGTGACTTTGAATCTTTTACTTTTCGGGTATTGTGCTAAGATGTACCACCATGGCTCCAACCTTTGTTTTCCAGTTGTACAATGTGGATATGTTTTTGTGATGATTTTGCTTATTATCATGAGATTCTGGTTTGGACTCATCGAAATTCGGTGGTTCGGATGATTTCGAACTGGGAATCTCGAATATTTATTAGTATAAAAGTGGCAGACGATTCTTTTCCACGAGTTTCATACATTATCGTGCACAAATGAATAGATTGTAGAATGGATTCAAAGAATTCTTCAATAGTTATCGCCTTCAGGTTTGATATTTTAGATTCTTGTACCAATGATTGAAGTTACGCACCCCATTACGGAGAAATACTCGACAATTGATATTTAGGTACTCACTTAGTTGGGAAAAAGTATCTAACCAAAAATTTTCTTTGCATATTTTTTATTATGCAACAAGCAGCATACCTCGTGTACACCAAGTTATACGTGCTACTTGGTGCAACACCATGCTTCAACGATCCATCCATCATAATCTGGGTTCGAAGCTGTATGCATCATTCAAAATCTTCTCTGGCGTCAATCGTGCTAGCCCAGAACGAACCTCTAACAACCAGTTGCAACTTTCCCGTCCCTTCACTGCCATAACGAGGAGTTTCGAGAGTCAACTCAAAGAATCTCGTGCCTGCTCGAGATTTGGCTGCAAGGAAGGATTGACTATGTTCTTCTTTCAGTACTCGCCCAATTTTTAAAGACAGCAATGAGTCGAACCAGAAACAAATTGTTTTCCGATCACATGCCAGCTACAAGAATGTTAGAATCAGCTGTTTGTTGTAACCGAGAATATAATAATGGGTCCAGATGGTAAATGGTGGTAAAATGATGGCATTCAGTTGGTTTTTTAATAGCTTAGGATATTTGCTTGGAATAGAGCATTTTTACATTCCTGGTTTTATATTCACCAGAGCCGGCCTCGGGATTCAGACCTGCAGTAGACTGCTTTACTTCGTGTCTTGTACCTTGAGTGTAGGGATGGGCACGGCTCGGCTAATATTTTTTGTTACCCGTCTAGCCGAGTATACAGTCGGCTAGTCGATTAGCGGCCGGCTAGCCGATAAATACTGCCACCTCTATCCGAGTTCGAAAACGAACCGGAAACTCGGACCGAATTTACTTTCCGGTCGAGCATGTCCTCGGATTTGGCCAAAATTATTCAATAAACATGTATTTTGACCAAATATTTCGGTATATTGCATTTTTTATCGATAGATGACTAGCCGGCTAAATTTGAAGCCCAGCCGACTAGCCGGGTGCGTGCCCATCCCTACTTGATTAATGTATTATAAAAAAAATTAAAATTGTGAGATATGAACTTCTTTCAAATATAAGTGAAGACTTATAATACTTTATTGCACATTACATATGAACAATCAATACATTATGGTAAGAATATGGGATGTGTATTCATCTGTAACCAAGTACTATGAGTAAATAGTTTTAAGAAAAGCCATATTATTTTTTATCTATTCTTTATATGCTATTCAGAAATTATTTCTTTAATTTTTTCCATCTGAATAATATTTCTCCAAATCATCATTTAAAGATATAATTTTGACATCAATTGGATGAAACTCTTATTAATGCAATGCTGCTCCAAGTACAAGGATGCATCAAACTGTGTTGACGTTGCAAGAATGAACATTTTTGCAACTTGCAAACGTCACATTGTCTTGTGATGCACAAATTTTCCCATGGCATACTTTTTTTGCAAAACATCCACTTGCATTGTCACTTTCCATTTGGTTGCATCTTCCAATTGCATGGTTTCAAAGAAAGTCAATGGATCTTTAAAATTAGGTGCATCGAATCTGATCATAGTACTTTCAAGAAAAATAACGATGTGTTCATGAAATAAATTTCCAATACTTTGTATGATTACTTTGCATGACTTACCTCTTGCAAAGTTGTAGTGACAATAAAATAAAAATTTGATTCAAAGATTTCAAGGTCTTCAAAAAATGACATTGAAGAACAATTTATTTTCGTTGACAAGTGTCTATGAAGGTTTCAATGGGCAGAAACCTGAATGTCAAGTATCTCAAAGAGCCATCAAACATGTTTGAATGTTATAAATATACTAGTAAACTTCATAATCTTATCTCGTGAAATCATACAGATATTAGTCATTATATATGAGGAATATATGTACAACCGATATAGCATGGCTCTTTTTATTTTGATTGAGAATTTATTTTGATTTTCAAGATATATTGACCTTATAAGAAAGTCATGTCCAATGTATAACAAGTCCTTGAATTAGCCCATTTCATACTTCTTGTCGAAAGTTCAAAATGTGGAGAACTCAAGAATATAATTTTTTTCTTCACCTCATCATCGAAACAATTTATTTGTAGACGTACATACAATGAATTTGTTTAAGGTCTTCAACCTCCGCTTTTTATTATTGATGTGCTAAGAATCTTCATAAGTATATAATCCTGTAGATTCGCATTTTGGTGTGTAACCACGTCTTGGGTAGATGTTAATCACGAGCAGTTTCAACCATACACGGTTATCTATGACTTGAGAATAGATGAAATCTAACTAGCAACATGCTATTCAGGTCTAGTGTCAGTTTTCGTCACGAGGAACCAAGTAGAGATAAACAGTACATGTTGGGTTGGTAGCATCCAAAGCTGGACTTTTTATTCCACTCGTGAATAAAGTGTGTGTACTAACATATGTTTATTCTAAAAATAGAAAAGTGTCAAATGGATATAAACATCGATGGGAAGAACGATAATAAAGAAAACAAACGGGAAAATTTTGCTAAAAAATAGGCGATTTAGCGATTCCGAAGATTCTTCGACAATGTGTATGTTTGTTTTGGTTGTTCTTTTTTCCCCAAATTTGATACTCACATAGATCTAGGAGTCATAGAATTGTCTATGTGTGAAAAGAAGCCTGTAATAAAATTAGTGCCTTGCGAAGAGTCTTCCAATGCGCGAGATAATCCACTGCAATCGTATACTAATATCATTCCCATTCATTTGAGTTTACAACTAACAGCTCGCAGGGGACGACGAAAAAACTTCATCCCCTGCGATGACATTCTAACTTGGTAAAGTGTGCAAAACATCATTAGAATTGAACTAGTTCAGACCGAAATTAAACCGAAATAGTTGCATGCCGTAATGTTTGAGATATGCAGGAATGTACATTCCTGCATACCTCAAACATTACTTGAAACTAGTACAAGGATATCTTGGCCATAACCTGTAAACTTTCAAAGTTTCATATATCTCTTCTAGCGCAACTACACTCTGTATTGTGTGTACGCATTATTGTTGTATTTATGACTAGAAGTCCGCTAGTGACGTGCAGTATGAAATTCCACATTCCAGTCTCTTACTATATATTAGTATTGCCTATTTTACCGGCACATGAGAATTTAATACGCCTTCAACGAACAATCTTTCGCTAAAATTAAATGCGGTGGAAAGAAATGAGTTCATGCATTTGACATATTCCTGACAGATCCGGACAATCTGGTGAGTAGGAAGACGCGCATGGTCCTCTGTGCTATTGCATAATGCTTTGCACCACAGCGGAATGATCTAGACTAAATTAGTCGGAGATGACGAGTTGACCGTGGATTGCGACATTTCCTGGCCTCTACTTCCCAGTTTTGGTGTGGAAGTCACCAGCCCATGTGCGGAGTTTCCTCGAGAGTGAGCTGTCCACACACTGTTTATCGGGTCATATGCAGTATGGACGCAGGTATTGTAACCACAATCGGTTTGAACGTATTGCAGAATATAGGCAACTATTCTGTTCGCGTATTTCATCTAATTAATCAATTATTTCATTTCATTTCATTCTTGATTGCAGGTTCAGTGAGTCATGCGGCATGAGTCATGCCATGTCGGATGAGCAAGCTTCCTCTGCTCTCCCTCTGGTCTCGTGCCCTTTGGGTTTTTGCGACCGTCATAAGAGGTGACTTGGCGGAGTTTGTTCAGTAGTTGTGGATGTGATTTTTTCGGGAACAAGATGTGTTGAAAGAGTCAACAGATCTTGACGCAAGCACATAAACATAGGCTGAAACGGAGGGAGGTTAAAGGAGTGAATTGAACTCAGGATGTTTATTGCTGACACCGGTTACACGGGACAGATCATTGTCCTGCATATAATGGTCGTTCAGAGCCTATGAATGAGTCACATCACGCAAGGTGACGGAAATATACAAAAGACGGAGCCTGTTAAAGCAGAAAGAGAGCTTTCCAACTTCGACTTCTCTAAATGTAAGACCCAAAACTGAGTGTTGAATTATCGAAACAACTGGCACTGTTGTCGAGCCAGTGATGGTCACAGATTCACTAAAATGGCTAGCTGGCGGACTGGCTACCAAAGCTTGCAGCGGCTGCCATACTGGGGTCAATTAATGTCTGGCTACTAGTCTAATATCCAGAACTTTAAAACTATTCTGACTTCGGTAGCTAGACGATCTACAAAACCAGATCTCTAGCAGGAGCGCTTAATTCTTCTTTGATGATGACGAGAATAGTACAATATAATACAAACTAACAGAGACACGCAGCTGGTCTGCGTGTCTTTCCAGGGTGGCCTTTGAAAATTTGGTTGTCGTTGTTCAAGCTGTAGTTCATTGATTACTTAAAGTCATACTATCGGATGCTAGAGAACAGAAAAAACTCCTGAAATGCTGGACACTACAACCACTCTTCTGGCTCATTGGGTGCTGGGGCCGAAACTTCTGTTGATCTAGGTACTAAAACTGAATTGTCTCTCCATAGATGGGACATCAGTCGTGCTCGATTTAAAACTTGGTTCTCTTCTTCCCTCTTCCGTCGAGGGAAGCGTTGAACCGCTGATGACACCTTCGCCTGCTCTCCTCTTCGACCTCTTCGACCTCTTCGACCTCGTCCTTTTGGCCAGAGCTCCAAACCCAAGCGAAGTACAAAAGCAGCTCTTCATAGCCACGGGAAGGTCTAGCTCATCTGTTGTGCCGGAGTTGCGAGCTTGCAAAATCTTCGCCTTCGCTGCGTAAGAATTGTTTGGCCAATCATAGTGGACTTGAGTTTTGAGATCCCTGTTCTTCGTGTACGCTGCAACCAGAGCATCTGCGGCTTTTTCTTGATCACCTCCAAAACTCTTCTTCAAACTCAGATATTGCAGATTAGGTACGACATTGGCCTTCAAGGCAGCGGCCAATGCTATCGTGCTGCGATGCTCCAGCTTATTTTCGTCGAGAGAAAGATACTTCAAGTTGGGTAAGTGGCCAGCTTCAAGAGCCTTGACTATAGCAGCTACTCCTTTAAAACCAATAGCATTACGAGCCAAGTACAGTCGCTCAAGACCTGCGAGATAATCCAATTCCAAGGCCTTACCCATAGCCATGCAACTCTCATCTCCAATTGAATTCCCATCCAATGCCAACCACTTCAGCTTAGTACAGTTCCCAGTGACGAAGGCTTCACACAAAACATGGCCGCCCTCCGCACCTGACTGATTATCCACCAAGTCCACAATTTCCAATTTTGGGATGTGACCAAGCTGCAGAACCTTCGCCAGCTCCTTGAAACCCTCCTCCCTGATATTGTTTCCTTCCAGATCAAGCACCTTCAAGTTCTTCACCTTCCCTGACGCCAGAGCTTGTGCAATTGCGATGGCTCCGTCATTTCCAATCTCGTTCCGATGAAGATACAAAGCTTCTAATGATGGCAAATGACCAGATTGCAACGCTTCGGCGAGAGATTTGCTGCCTTCAACCATGAATGGAATTGCACTCAGGCCCAGCTCCTTCAACCCCATGACCTTGTTTGACTGCAAAGCTCGCACTAATGAGACAATACCTTTCGGTGTGAACGGATTCTGGCCAAGATTCAGCGCCTCCAGAGTTGCCATATTGCCTGACTCCAAGGCTTTGGCCAAGGCTTCCATGCCTTCAGGTCCAATGTTATTCTTGAACAGGCGTAGGACTTTTAAGCTCGGGACATGACCGGCTTCCAAGGATGTAGCAAGCGCCTTGACACCTCCATCACCAATGTTGTTGCCACTCAACCACACGGTCGACAGATGGGGAACACATCTGAATCCGTTGTTGACATTGCTCTTCTCGTTGGGTTCCCCCAGATTCTTCGATTTGTTCTTCTTTTTGTTCCAGAATTCAAACGAGAAATTCTTTACCACGGCTTGCGCCACAGTGGGTGTACTTTTGATGCCTTGGAACCCATTAGCCAACGCTCTGCAGCCTTGCTCTCCGATCTTGTTCCACGAGAGGTGAAGAGTCCTCAGAGCTGTCAAATTGCCGACTCCAATAGCACCCGCAATAGCAGCGACACCATCGTCTCCAATATCATTGGAATCCAAACTCAGCTTCTCAAGTCTCGGTACGGGACAATCCTGCAGCGCTTTTCCAAGAGCTGCAATTCCCCGATCCCCAATGCGTCTTCTTCCAAGGTCGATGATCGTCACCTTCTGTAGCTCATCCAGCAACGATTGGTGTAAATTCTTGGCCTGAGTGTCTTCCAAATCTGCTCCGAGCTTTCTAAGAAGGTCTACTATGATCCGAGTAGTAGTCCGTTCCATCACAGCTTGGGCCACCATGATGTTCACGACAATTCTCCTACTTTCAGATGGATCTAGAGAACACAGGATCGAGCGATTCGACAAGCAGGCAAAACTTGCAGGAAAGAAGAGTGATTCGAGTCACTCTTATCGGTTGATCGGCGAAAGACATTCATGCGCACATGACCACGACGTAGCTACTGCCCTCGGATCAACGATGACACCTACTACGAAGACCTACGTGAGACATAGATGTCAGCTCAGAATGGTGAGATGAGAGTGCATCCCAAGAACGCACCACCTTGTGCCCATGGAGACAAGACTATAAGGCATTTGAGCAGTCTGGTATCGTGATTAGTGTACGCAGTGGAACTCGTAAGAGAATCGTCTCAATCAAGAAGAAACGGACAATCTACCTCGAGCTCTTCAAATAACCAAGCCGAGACACTGGTACGAAAGTGAATTGTCAAACTCTGTGCCTGGGGATCTGCTCGGACCTGGACTAATCGATTGATCTAGAGGGATCCGAATCGCTCAATGAATTTTTCAGAAATTCAGGAAAAAACCTTCGAAACGCAACTCTCTGCCTAAGTTGCAAAACACAAAATCAGCACAAAGAGAGTACAGCCGCTGCTACTACTGCTTACTCGGGCCAATTCGAGATTACAGGACAATTGAGACATGAAAATCAGAGAGTCCTGAGAGAAATTGCGCTCAAATTGATCGAGACTCCCCAGGATCTGGATTGTGAAGTGCTGGCAAAGGACGACGATACTGGAGATGGTGATGGTGCAACAGCAAGCTCTGTGATGACACAGCGGACAAACCTATTGATTGCTGTGAGTGGAGAGAAGGTAGCGCAGCCCCAACAGAGAGAAATCAGGAGTACACAAGGCACGGCCAGTCTGTCCGACTTCACAAAGTGCGAGCGAGGAGAAGCCATGGTCACGCGTGAGCTGGATCTCTTCATGCTTGGTACCGCCTACAAGCTATCCCATGCCATCCACAGTAACCGGCTGTAGAATCGGCTGTAGAATCCCCGGGAAAGGTTCGTCTTGTACTTTTCAGTCGAGGCGCGAATCGACAGGACAAACGTCATACCGGCCGAAAAGAAATGCCTCACGCCAGATACCGACAGGATGCTTTTCGCTTTTCTCTTAGCATCTGGTGACATTAAATACGTCTTCTACATATTTCTTCTAGAGGTTAAAGCGATTCCATGGTGGAGTCTGCGAACGCGTGAAGGAAAAGGGAGACGATATACTTGTTTTAGTGTAGTGTGATGGAGCATGTAGTGTCATGGTTTCATGGAATATGCAATCGATTCAAATCATTGCATCTACCGTCAAAAGATTATACTATGACTCCATGGCCCTTTCCCGTTCCCAATACACACATGTAATTTCTGTCAGCGAGGGGCAATCAAACTACTTTCATAATCGCATGCCCTCATGTATATCCGATCGTCAAAGATCTGATGAAGTAATTGTACAGTTTAACAATCTATGATCTGATCCTTCATTCTTTGACTAATTGAATATGGCAAATAAGTAACAATAAAATCATGATTAATTTTATAGATATAGAGTATATTCGGAGTACATTTAAATACATACTATATACGGAGCTAGTCTTAATCCCTACTGTTGTAAAACGATTAATCCATCAAAATTCATTTCTTTCACTGCTACTGTTGTGTGAGACTGACTCGAACACTTAATGCTCATGCATTTGTCTTAGATGATCCAGTTGAACAAATACACCCACCACGGTATAGAGAAACACCTAGGTTTGTGCTGGCATGTGTATCGTAGGTAATGTATGTACGTAAATTCTGCTTCAATCAAATTGGAAGGACATTTTAACCATAAAAGATAGCTATCCTTTATGCTATATTTTCATTTTATTTCGTACAACTTTTTTCGTATAATTAAGCTTCTAAACATCTATTCCTGGTTTACAATGAAAATATGTTTTAAATATTTCCCTGCGGAGATATATTCACAATTATACTCATAGAATTCTCGACTGGAAAACTCACGAGATACCATAGTCTCTATGGTCGGTATGTAATGTGCTACACGTCCTGGATCCGAACGATATGAACTGGAAAGACAAACCTTGTTCGACGGCTCATCCAAAGCTCGCACGCTGTAAAGACAGCCAAATTTGAGCTTGTACGGGAATAGTGATTCCAAGTGATACAAGTGGCAACGTTGACGAGGTGATTGGGTGCCGTCGACATGGCGCCGGAGATGAAAAACAGAAGAAGCCAGCAGGAGCCAGGCGAGCAGAGCCTTCAGTAACCTTCGCAGGTGCCGGGGCGGACCCAATCAAGTAAGACACTGAACTGGACATGTCATCACGCTAAGGCGACGTGAAATCTGGCTACCCGGCCGCATATGTTAAACTCCCCTTTGGACTTTTGCACTCTCTTTGTTTGAATTGTTCCAACTAGCCCGTCCAAGCGGCAAGAATGCGAAAATGCATAAAGGCTACAAGCCCATAAGAGACCGTTGACTTAGTGCGTGATATCTACTATTTTGTTGGTGTCACAGCTTGTCATGGTTGAGATCTTCTTGCTCTCCTGCTATTAAAAGCGCAGTACTGTAGTGAGAGTTTCCTTCTGCAAAAACCAATTCAGCTTATTTTTACCTCTTTAGCACCGACACACCATCATTCATCAAGTTGATTTCGCACCTACGATAGTTAACCTAAGTTGGCACAATCCGATTATGCGAGTGTTAAGAGTATACTCTACATCTACAAATCACTAAAACTAATATTCATTCAAAAAATGTAAAGAAAACAGTGCACTGTCATGTAATCTTCTTTATAGACTTTAATGAATATTACCAAATTGAACGTAGTAAAATTATATTACAAAATAATTATCATTAGTTATTATGATATTTATTATTGTTTTGATGTGTTATATATGAAAAAATTTACTCTTAAACAAGTTAAGAAAGATCTTTTTGTGAAAAATTATTTCATCAATAATAGGTTATCTTAAAAAGTACATGTGAGTTTTATAAGACTAATCTTTGAGTGATGATTGAAGAGATAGTGTGAAACAACGGTCGGATTCCCGGACTTAGAGTAAACATCATATTTCTAAATTCATGATGATTTATCAAAAAACCAACTGATGCAAACTTCAATAAGAATCACATTTTTATTTCCTTGCCAGAATATTGAAACTATTGAACTACTTCTACATATATGTTTTGATATAAATTTTTTATCATAACAAATTTGACTATGAAAGATAACTTGAACATGAGCTTTAGAAAAGGAACAAACAAAGATAACAAAGATGATGCTAGAAAGTAGTTTAATTGTTGATTTTTTCCAAATTAACATTAAACATTTTGTGTCATCACCTGTATTAGAAAAATGTTGAAATTTTGTCGTATTTTTTGCGCCACTTTTCAAAACCTTCAATACTTTAAATAACTATTGACTCTCATATCTTCGTTTTTTGTCATTTTGTCTCAAAATTGATGTAATGTCACGCCGTCTCTAGCCTTCATAAAGAGAAAAATTGTCACATAGTTTTATGTGGTTGAAAATTTTTTAAATGCTCAGGTGTCAGAATACATATTTTGTTGATCCACTTGATTCTCACATCCCTAGTCTACAAAACTCATTGTTATACTTCGACTATTGTAAACCTCCTGGTGCAAACGAACTTGTAATAGTCGTTAGAACTTCTCACGAATATTCTAACGACTGGAAATCAACACGGTACAGATAAATTCTTCCTGCTCAATTTGAAAGCGCAAGAAATTAACGAGGTGAATAAACCTTGACTTAGAACTGACAAGTACATTTTCCATCTTCTGTAGGTGCTAGAGGCTAATGGGAGCTTCTTCTTCTTCTATTCTAGTATACTACTGTAAGTTGGTACTACAGTGAATTGAGTATAATGTGACTTCTACCACAATGCCCACAATTACACAAGACATCCTGCATTCCATGTGTTGCTGGTGGGCTCTGTGTGATCGACGTATCAAGCAAGTATCAATTCGGATACACTAAATAAATATGGAAACGTTCTCTTACTCTACAAACGGCCTGGCACCACTCGTGCTTTTTCGGTCTTCGTGTAACTTTTGTAAAACATACATGGTTGTCAAAGTGCTTTAAATATACTGACTCTGCGAAATGTAAACAAAAGATTCAGTGTTACCCCTTTTTGTGGAAATTGAAACTTCTCAGCAGGTGACCAAGTCATATCCAAAGTTCCATGATCTTTATAACACAAGAAAGCACACTGTAGAATTAAGTTAAGAAAGAAGGATTTGGTACAGTCTAATCATGACTCTGCACAAATTCTCAAATCCGTTGTACAGGCTTGTACATAGAGATTCGGAGAGTTGATTCTCAAGAAAAAAAAATTTGCTCGTAGAATTGTAATCTGGCCAAGCCATTTGCAATTAGGCAGTAGAAACCATGAAAATAGATTTCCACGAAGCTTGACATAATTATCACTGAGAGCCCATAAGAGCAAAAACTGATGGCTCTAACTCGTACCTGTACATGAAGTAGGCCACTTCTTGTAATGCTGATCTGGTAACCATGTAAATGATAGGCAAGAGCAAGCAGACTCCAATTGAACAAACTTCATTGCTCTTATACTTGCCTTCAATCTAAAAAGATACCAAGAAAATCAATGTTTACATCACTGAAACGCCTATCTCCCCAGCTTCTCGTCAAGAAGAATGGCACCAGAAGCCTTGAAAACTGGTCTCATCCATCCACAACTGAGCACCCAACCGGCTGACGACGGTGGAAGTGCGACAGAACTAGAAAACGCTGAATGTTGAAGATGACAATGGAAGCTTGAATTGCGGGTTCCTGTGCATCGACAACAAGATACACCTTACCTAAACAATCACAGAGCTCGTGAAATCAAACTGAACAGACAGTGTACCCAGTGAACTGCCAAGCTTTTGAGCTCATATACTGTCGTGACGAGGCACAAGAAAGTGCTTCGGGAGGGACTTATATGGTTTAAATATGAAGTGCACACGAAGAAAAATGTAAATTTTGAAACTTTCTGGGATATCACATGTCATTGTCTATGGCTAGTCCACTGTACAGAAATCAGAGATGGGGGATTTGTGTGTATCCTTTCAAAACAAAACGCCCTGATTGAAAGTAGACCCGGAAAATTGCCTTTTCCAGGTCTAAACTCTGGTGAATGTAGTGGCAGGCTCCATCCTTAAAATCAGTTTAGTCAGCTAAAGCATGATCCTCTGGATAGAGACAATTATTCTTGAAGAACAGTTTTTCATCTAGACGTCAACCATGAAGTTCACAAACTACACAATGAAAGAGGATACAACTGTTAATCTATTTATACAGCAATGTTGGACACATTACGAGGATTTATCCATGAGTTGGATAGGAGTCAATATATTCTGCTTGTTGATCTCCACAATGCAACCATTCATGACCATCTCCTCCAGCATAAAGTGTGCTTTCTCAAGATGGAACATGATGTCCAACTCACACTGCCAACAACAGAAAAGGTGTAAGTTTGATGACCGGCCGTATAGAACTTGCATCAATATGACTATTTTCATAGACACTTCTGAAGTCGACGGATGTGATCATTCAATTACAAAATTCCCTTGTCATTTGTGGCAAATGAAAGGGCTACTATTCTAAAAACTGAATCGATGCTTTTCGTAAATTATCAACCGAAAGGAGTCTCAGAATACGAACCACGTTGCCAAAATATCGATCTAAAGTTTCAACGACGCAGTGTATGAACTCTAGAATTGCCAACTCATTCTGCACGCAGTCAATGACGAGAGTTCCACATGTAAGTATGAATGCATTTGGAAAAGAAAAACGCGGTGAACTGATCGACAAAGTGGAGAAAAACAAAGAATCTGATCTATGGTAAGTGCCCATTAAAGGCAGAGCACAAAACATGTGCAACTATATTGGCAAAGAAGTCTGGCGAAAACGTCAAGAAGAAGTCGCTGATTTGTCCAGTGCTATGATATAAACAAGCAGATTGTAAAACTTCATACAAATTTTGCAAGTGTCAAAAGTACATCCTAACACTGGTAATAGCAACCTTGGCACTAACAAGTATCGTACTGCAATTCGTGAATGTCTAAATAATTAGAGATCCTTTAGGGTTGGAAAGAACTGTTGCAATGGATTATGAGAAATCGCGCAGCTTTCATTGAAATTATAGTGGAGTATTACCTCATCACCATCAACTCCCACCAAGAAAAACAGTGACGCATATCGTCTATAAATAATTTTGTAGTTCCGATGCTCCACGAAAGAGCACTGTGATAACATTAATAGAAGTCAGATCCTGTACGACAATTCCGCTGGCAGTCTGAAGCTGTTTCAAGACCGTCGTCCTAGGTGACTAATTGATATTCATTGCAAAGGACTTGGCTTGCACAGCGATGAAACACACAAGCCTAATTCCAGATAAACAAAAGGAAGAGATGATTTAAGATGTCCGACCAGAGATATATCCAACTGCATAATCATGCAAAATGCTGGCAATTCCTGCTTTCAAGGTTTCGAAACAAGAATTACAGATCAAAACCAAACACGCTTCACAAGGCTCCGTGGATCCGAAACACACAGAAATCTATCCAAGTTGAGACTGTAAATTTCACCTGTTGATCCGATCGGGCTAAGCATTTGCGAACAATTTCTCCCTCCAAAGCACGGCGTTCTTCGATGGACAAATACTCGTAGTACTGTGCAAGTCTAGTCTGCCCTTGCCTGTTCACTAGCAGCACAAATGTAATCGTCATCCTCCACCCTTCCTCGATCACACGCTGCGTCTCTGCGGTTCGGTCGCAATGGATCTGGGCAGGGCTATGTTACTGATCGATTCGGGGTTTGTTGAACGTACTGGATTCTTGCTTCTCATCTTGACCGCAGTCGCAATATCCTACTGTGAAGTTTGTCTAAGCGGCCAACATAACGTGGTTCTAAGATACTGCGTCTCTTACATCCAATTCCGGAAACTTCCTATAAAGGGAGACACCAGTAAAATACAGTGAAGGAATTAGTATTGATCTTGCATCAATATTATAGATTATGCATGAAAAATTGATGGTTAGGATTCGGCAAGCTGATATACACGTGTACTCAGATGAATCGTGAGATTTCCGGGAAGAGAGGAAAACCGAGCGGAAAATACTAGCTGCATTTGAAGAAAGAGACACGATGCAAAAAGGCCGAACTCGTGCAGGTCGGAAAGAGAAGATGATGAGAAACAATAATGTGATGAACCAATAATGTGCTGCAAGACGAACAATTTATAAACGAAAAGTGTGGCTTGGCCTTTAGGCCGCTGCCACATGACCGGACCGGTAATTTGTGTGTCATAATGTTGATGTTATATTAATGTGGCAATTTATTATTCATCTAACTGACATGGTTTCGGCATTTTTCTCGAATATAATAAAAAAGTCAAACCCGACAAAAATGGATGCTCATAAGATGTTGAAAAAATTGTATCTTTTGATTAAAAATATTTTTATAAGACTAGAATACATACTTCTTTTCAGTTATACATAAATAAATATCACTCATCCCATATTTTTTTTTAAGGTCGTCATATCCATGGATCAAATGTAAAATTACTTATCAAATGTACAATTAAGAGTATGAATAATCATAAACAGCAGTCCGATCATAACTACAACTATTTCAAACTCATTTTTATATCATTCATTTGTATAATCTATCAAGTATGACATCTACATGATATTATGTATGTTTAAATGACAATGATGGTAGTGGAGATTTCAATATTGGAATGGTGAACTTTCGCTGATATTTAACATCAATACAAGAATAAGTTTGCTGTGATTTTTCATATAGGAAAAAGTGCATCGAGATAAATCCAAAAACACTTGAATTGCATTGATTGAAGGATTTTTTAGTATGTCACATTGTATGAACGGAGGCTTGAGGTGGTAAAATAATTTATGACTCACAAATATTTTTGATTAGTTAGAAGGATATAGGTTTCAAGATTTTTTATTTGAAGATTGGCAGAATGAGTGCATATTTTTAAAACTATTTTGAGGGCGTATTGGTCAGATATTTTATGCAGTGAAAAGTTTTACGATCCAAAACTTTTCACCACTATCCATCCATGAATTGATATGTAATGCTTTTGATGCCTTAGAAAACAGTGTTTTCAGTTCTTTTCAACTATATGAAGCTTGCGATATTTGTATATTCCCTCCAATATTGATTGGAGAGAGTGATAGCGTTTCATATTGCTAAGGTAATTTGAATTGTTGAGATAAATCCAACTGAACACAATGCGGAAAAGATTTGTCCTAAGAAACTCAAAAGTGTAAATATCCAAATCAACTTTAGGATTTGTTAAAATACTTTATATGCAACGGGGATCTGCAAAAACCGAAGTTATTATCAATGAAGATATCAGAAACTTCAAGCTTATTTTGGAATTTTATGACAATAGTTACCAATATATTCTTGATTTAGGATTTGTTAAAATACTTTATATGCAACGGGGATCTGCAAAAACCGAAGTTATTATCAATGAAGATATCAGAAACTTCAAGCTTATTTTGGAATTTTATGACAATAGTTACCAATATATTCTTGATTTAGGTTCCAAGGATCGAATGAGAGTTTTTTTGAAAGATTACATACATGCTCTTCACCAATGTATTATCAACAAATATTATAATTATTTGTAATGAAAGTTGGACATATTTGGTTCAAGAAAAGTCAGATGTGGTCAATTCTGGTTCCAAGAAGGTTGTATAGAATCTAGAAATCTCACGAGAAGGCCAACCAACATGAAGTAATGAAGAAATCTGCAGTTCAGGTTTACTAGAGGTGTATTTTACTAACTTAGTATTTTGATGTACTTTTTGTTCTTTGGCAATAACATCCAACTGTTCAAAGCAAAAAGCAAAAAGTCGTCATACTTGCAATTAAGATTTTGATGTGAAATAATCAAGTACTTTCAACATAAATAATATATGAGTGATATTCGAATTTGGAAGATGGAGTATACTATCAATATTGCGGAGAGATGACAACATGAGAGCAATATTCTTGCAAAAATGCAAGGATTTACTTTGATGAGATCGACATGCAATAAAAAAAAAAAGAACAAGCAAAAAGTGATCATGGATTTATTGTTACTTTCATCATGTTTCAATATTATTTGCTTCGCCTTGAATTGGTTGGAGTATATTGAAGTTATCTTGCAGTTTGTCATTTTGCACCATTGCCAATGCATGTCTACACCACATTCACTTGCACTCGATCAATTCATTGGAGATGTTCTTAAATATCATAGCAAAGATGAAGTGTTTTAGTGAGAGAAATCAAAGCTCGCATACATTGTGCTTTATTTATACAACTCAGTGATTCTTTGACTTCTTTTTCCTTTTAAAATCTTTTCATGTCTTCCTACAAATCCTTTGACAAAGCATTTTTTAAAATTCAAAACCATTTGCAAAATCTTAAGTCAACCGCACACCTTCACAACTTTCACAGCAATACGAGTTTCTCCTCTACTGCCGTTAGCATCATCAATCATCTTATGTGCTTGTCTGCTAGTATCTTTCTAGCCTCTACTTTTGGTATTCTAACATCTCAGCCGTAATGACATCATACAAACTCTTTTGTTTATTTCTTATTTGTCAAAGTCAATTTTTCTTTTGAAATCTCCACTTTTGGTATTCTAACATCTCAGCCATAATGACATCATACAACTCTTTTGTTTATTACTTATTTGTCAAAGTCAAATTTTATTTTGACATGTAAATCTGTTTGAATTCTTCCAATTTTGTATATAATTTTCCAAAAATCTTTATTTGTTCACCAACGCTAAATATATGTCACGTTGTGAAAGAATACTTGGGTTGTGAAAGAATACCGGATTTGGTTACTCAAGCAGTGGTGAAAATTCAACTCAAAAGATTAGCAAATGGTAGATGTGAAAATTTGAATGATCATTCTACCAAACTTTCCAAGTGGAAGGTAGATTGTATTTGACCCATACTCATCAGACTATCTCATGGTACTCATGATGGGTCAAATACAATCTATGGTTTTTCTTCGACCTAGTTGCCACAAAAGATTGTTTCTATTTGCAAATCAAAAAGTAAATACTTGGTGACAAACTATTGCATTATCATAACAAAATAGTGTTTTTGACAAGTTGTTTGAAAAATTGGTAGAATCAAAGTTAATCGCATGTACAAACCTTCGAGCATTGAATTTATTCCGGATATTATCCCACAATGAAACAAACAACTTGAAAGTTGCATATTCTCTTATCTCCAACATTTGTGAATTTGCCAGTTCGGCAAGATTAGAATTCATCTTGCGAAGCCTTGCTAGCGGAGATGCATGCTTGAAACCTAATATACTCCGAAGCAGCTTCTCTTTTTGCTGTTTCTGACAAATGATTCAATATTCTACCGTTTTGGATGAGCTGGCTAGTATGCCGAGTGGATTTCTTCACATAAATCTTGTGCAAATGAATCTGCAAGGCTCATATGAAGTTACTGAAAAGTGTATTGGTCTTTCTAGTTGAACATGAATGATGACAGAATAATATGTTGCATGGTTTTTGCTTAAAGAATAATAACCCAATGAAATGCACTGATAACTTGGTATATCCCTTCTCTTGTGCAGATAGTTGTCTGCTTAGTGATACACACACCAAACATAAAAGCATCCATAGCAAACATCCAACCAGAACAGTGGAAGTGATAGAACAAAGCTGGAAGTCCGTTGCATATAATGTTTTAAGGAGTATAAGAACTCTCTTCATAAACCTAGCTCAGTTGTGAAGGATTCCTGAAGTTGTGTGCAAAATGTACAATGGTCGTTTATCCAGGTTCCTCCATCGATGTAGGACCACAATGAGGCCATGAGATTCTGTTCATGTCTTGAAGCCATAAAAGTCAAGAATTTGAGTGAAACAAATCTCACGTCGCGTAAATGGTTTTCTGCTGATTTGATGGAAATAATTTTACATTAATCAAAGTAGAGCTTACCTTAAAAATTCAGACTTAGTTTTACAATTACAACAAACCTTAAAATCAGAAACAACTGAGTAACTGACTCTTGGATGAAAGGGCGTGGATATTTGCAGAGAAAAAAAAAAGCTTAGTTACTACTAATCGAGGTAATATTAAATTTTCTGTCTTACCCTTTGACTGGTTCCAATGCTTCATAAGAGAAATCACATTTTTCAGAGACAATGTTTGTTTCTATCCTCACCCAGTTGATTCGAGTTTGAGAGTCAATGGACATAAGTATGACTTGTTTTTCATCGTAACCACCAAACTGATTGTGAAGACTCATTTTCTCAGATGTATCTCAAGCTTTGTTTTTGGAGACCTGATTACTGAAAGCTCGTGTTTCTTTGTATTTTGCTTTCTCAAACACATAATGTTGAACGGATCTAAACCACAAGTTTGGCTGTATAAATTATTCCTTCTGATACCAACAAATAAACAACTGTAGCAACGTAGTGCCTTAGTGAGGTGAAATACGAGCTTTAACTACATACAAAACGTTGAGAGAGGTTTGACTGGGCTTTCTACTGTAGTCCACATAGATTCCGGGAGGAATAAATCATGACAAATTGTACCTGTACCAGGATATAGTGACAGCATGTTAACCAAGTCCTGAACATCACCACTAGAGACACCAAGTAATTTGACAAAAGGGATGGAAAGACATCTGTGAGAGCTGGTGCATGTCTTGCCATATCCACGCGTGCCCATCTACTTAGGATGGCACCTTCTGCTGACGCAAAGAATTTCGAGTTTGCCATTCGCGAGCGCTCGGTCCAGATGCTTTGCCTCCACGTAGTCTCACAAGCTCTAGATTCCAGCCGCGACAGCTACATGTCCTACCTGTAATTCATGGTCTAAGGCTCATACACATGCGAGTGCCTTCCATTTCTCGGTTTGTGCATTCTTCATGACACGGGTTTTCACTAACTTGCGCAATACCCAACACTCGAGTTCGTCCACGTACGTGGGAAATTTCCATTTTCTCCAGTGATCCTGGTTCATTCGTCGTCCGATTCACAGGTGGGAATTTTTCTTCAGAGACGAGTGCTTAAGTGCTTAATTAGCACTCGTTACATGGTCACAAAAAAATTGTCCAGACGGCGATAACCTCTGAAAGTGTCCAATTCATATAATGCAGGAAAGCTTCCAATCAACTCTGTGCCTTCCGATCAAACCGATAGATGAAACTCTTGTGAAAACAATCGGCAAAGTATCAGCTTCAAAAACTTTAATGACTTAATGTACAAGGAGGTAGCTTTCACTGACCTTTAGATCAGCCCATGAAGGGCTCTGAAATTCTACACGCTAATCCGTTGGCCGACCTAAAAGTAAATATCTTGCATTGAGGGCGAGATCATCCTACAATTCGACAACCAGGCCTGGATTCTAGCAACTCTTCACTTTTCTTTTGCTCATGTCCAAATTACTTAATGTCTTCGCGATTGAGATGCTGGAACTCCACAAACCGTAAACAACGGTCTCCAATATGAAAAGACGCCAACGTCCTCATTTACAATGTGGCCTAAAATCTGCGCATCTCTTTTGGAGGCTTGAAGTGGATAGGATGGGTTTCCGGAGTTGCTTTGTCATCTTCCCTCCACATTTTAATCGTCTTGTCAGCTTCACATGTAACCAGGCGACTTCCGGTAACATCAAAGCCCAGAGCGTAGATCCCGGCTTCACTATCCAAAGACCCTGCAGACAAAACATAGAGCGTGACCGCATTTAGTGCTCCGTTCACTCGCTGAAGACAACATAATCCCTGTTGAACAAATCCATGGAGCTTTCTTTGGATTCTCATCTGCCACTGAAATAATCTGGGTGATTATAATTCTCACCTGGCTGTACAACAGTGTGGGCTTGCTGGAAATTATGACCACTCTTCCAGTCCCAGAACCATAAGCTGCCATTGTCACCTGTGCATTGAGCATAATGGAACAGTAAAATAATCCGCCTTAATTTTGAAAAGGGATGGTTCATTTCAAGACAAATACGACCTATTACCACATTTAGTATGTATATTACATTTACGTTCACTGTGCATTGCAAGTTGCCAAAAGCACACCATTTACTGACCATACTTAAATCAAAAATTAAACAAATGACGTAAGGTTCGGACCTGCTGAGCAGAGAACATTATCTTCGTTAATCGCCATGCAGTTCACGATCGTCCTTTGCTGGGATCTGCATTACAATACCCACAATAATATTTATTCAACGATAATCATGAAGTGGTTACTTTTTTTTCTGTATGGCAAATTTGGGGCATCTCTTCCATGAGTCGAATTATGTTCACCGAAAGGAACTTACAGCATGTTGTGGAGAAATTCCCCTTTCGGCAGTCGGAACTTCTTGATGTTATCTGCAGAAGCTGATGCGAACGTGTGCCTGCACGTGTCCAAAGTGAAATTAGACGCGAAGTTCGCTCGTATTACAAACCAAAGCAAACTTGACAGCGACAATTATACAGATTTTGACTGAGTGGAAACAAAAAGGACATATAATTTGCTCGAATATTGCGCAATTCAACAGAAGCATTTCTACGCGGGCGATCTGTGATGACAAGCCTGCTTAACTGGAATATACGTATATATATGAAGTCTTCCCGGGATTGTTTCCTGAACACATTTTCCGCATACTAGGGTGTTCGGATACGATACATCGACCTCGCTAAAAGAAGTTGAAGCACTTACTCGAAAGGATGCATGGCAAGGGCACGCACGGACTTCTTGTGGAAGGTCAACGTCGACATCGATTTTCCTGCAGACATTACGATCAAACAATTAAGAATCACATAGAGAATCAGTTCCTGGAGAAATGTAACCAAATTGAAAGACTGAAGTGGCCAAGAAAACAAAAGCTGCCCCTAAATAATGAAAAGCTCGAGAGAAGATCACAACGTGTGCAGGTAAGAGGACCTTCAGTGGGGATAGCAAAGACGGAAGGAAATAATACAAGCTCAACTAACAAGTTAGGTTGCTTGTATAATCCGCCTGGTTCGATCATTTGATCAGCTCAGTCCCTCATAATGATTTGATAGAAGTTCACTAAGTACAAAGTAGAATAATTGGTAGATAAAGAAAAGCATCGCAAAACCAGGGCGGAGGTTTTCTCTTGGCTGAGCTTCGTTGGCCCTCAATCCTAAAATAAACCCCTAAACCTGAAACTTTTGCTTCTAGGGTGTACCAACAGTGCTGGACCTGGGTTGCATAAAGGTTATACCAGTTTAACATTTTACCTGGTCACGACTACGTTAGAACAAAATCAGACTTCCTCAAACCATGTAACAAATTTTCAAGCACAATATACAGTTCTCAAACTACAGGTATTGAGGCAAGTCAAAAAAATTAGCTTTACCTGCGGCTAAGTCCCATAGTTTGATTGTAGTATCATGAGAACCTGTAACAACTTGAGGATCCTGCACATCCGAATTCAGTATTACATATCGTTGTGCTGACTATGATGGCCAATCCAGTTCATTATTCAGGACACATGTAGCTGCCTTTTATTGACGGCCACGAGAATGCCTGAAGGCTTTGAATTTGGGGAAAAAATTGCACGCATAGAACTTTCTATATCCTAAATTCATTGAACAGTTCTTTGTTTCATCCAGGAAATCAGAGAAAAAACAAATCGCGTTGGAGGCTAGTCATTACCGTCGCCTGAGTGATGATAGAGCAAACGGTATTCTCGTGCCCAGATAGGGCAAATATTTGAGCCTTAGTTCGCATGTCCCAGACCTGCCGAAGGGCTTCAGAAAGTTAGAATTTCTCACGATCTTTTCAGCGGAACATATTTGCTTACATGTAATTTAAAGTTGAGTCCGAGAACTTACCCGACAGACAGAATCACGCCCACCAGTCAACAGCACATCTAGTGTTGGATGTAGAGACAAACAGTATACACCACTTAGATGTCCATGGTATGACCGGATAACCTGTTTATCCACACCATGCAACCAGTTACTGAACCGCAGTGTGATAACAAAGAGTTCACACAAAATTAGTGACGCCTTTACCCATCCCATAACTAGCCAACTATGCCATCAATCACATCGCAATATCCCAGAACCTTACTTCGGTTGAGACTAGCAGACACTTTAATTACCACGGAGTCAGAGTGAAGCATATCTCTAGACACCCTCTGCAACTGCTTATAAACAAACTCACCTTATTGTACTCCAGGTCCCAACATTTGACTTGCTTGTCATCACCAGCCGAAAACAAGTAGGGGTGCCGGGGGCTTACAGCCAAACCTGCTCAGAGAAAGGAAAAATGAAGCAGAGAAGGCTCAAATTTTATGACAAAATAGATAATACGTCCAAAATGCAACAAACATCATTCACATCTCTGACCTCGGATCTGCTCGATATGTCCAGTTAGCGTCAGTTTAAGCTTTCCGGTAGCAGTTTCCCAGATCTGCAAAATTATCGCGGAAGACCGTAAAGCGTTACGAGCCAGCACCAGAACGATGATGAAAGAGTCAAACAGGAGTTCAGCTTGTCGTGAAGGAAAGAGTGCCCAGGAGGTTTTCCACTCAAAACATCGGGAGTACATGACGAGAGATTTTATCTCCCTTAAGGGAAGATCTAAACAGAACACAAGTACTCATGCAATGCTTCAGTAAAAAAGTAGAACATAAAAATAAACAGAAGACATGGCAGATGGTACCTACACGATACAAATGGTGAGAAGAAGAAAACCTATGTAAGGAAAGTGAAGATTCGTTCAACAGGAGGACTTTGGTTGCGCATAAAGCAAAAGGTTTCTTCACGAGTATCGAAAAGCAGGGGATGGAGTGGACACTGAACTCGGCTTTAGACAAGACGACATTCACAAGAAATGCTCTTACAAGAGGAAAAGTTACAGAAGAGAACGGATAAATCTCGGCTTAACAAAATATGGACGATGGATGAGTAGGTAGTGAGGACCCATCCCCAGAAGAGGACTCAATAAGATCGGGTACATCAGGTGTTTTGCCAACAAGATCTCTAATGCGTTGGGATCTGTCAGCTGAGAATAGCAAGATGTCACTGACTCAGACAAACTAAGAAAAGAATACAAAGATGACGAAGACAAGGAAGGATCAAAAATCGGTAGAGACGTGGAGAATGTTCGATTTGACCTAATCCATGAAGGCATACAAGTTGTTGACAACCGAATCAATAAGATCGAAACGGGCCTTAGGAAGGTCAGATACATAACAGTGATCGATCGCAGTAAGGGTGGATGAGGCCACATTAAATTTTTGTCCAGTGAGCAGTTCACTGACGACAGAATCGTATTTATGGAACCAGCTATGCAATCTAGATGGAAACTGATCATCAAACAACAAGAAAGCATCCTTCAGACCCTGTCGAATAAGGAATTTCTTAAACATCCCTCCAAGATTCAAAGTTAGAAATTCGTACCTTGATCGTTCGGTCAGCAGAGCCTGTACAGAACCATTCGTTTCCCGGATCAAACGCTAAGGATCTAACCCATCCGAGATGACCACTGATAACCTGGAAAAAAAAATGCTATGAGAAGCCTGTTTTGAAAGTGGTACGTGTCCTTAACCGAGCTAATATTACGCATAGTAGAGGAAAATGTAAGAATAGTAGTTACATCCTCGACTAGAAGAAAGTCTCAGCGATCATATAATTCTGAAGCCTTGCGGCGAGGAAAACTTCAACATGTTTTCACAAGTAGCAACATCTGTTACAAGTACTCCATGCCATGGAACTTTGCCGTTACGCGACCATATGCATGAAAATAGGTCGATTACAACAGAAACCTCTTAATCAAACCTGATTAGCACATACAGGCTGCTATCCTGGCGTTGTTTATGTTATCTGCAGAACGACTCAATCAGTTCTTTATTCTGTCCCTTACACGCATATATATTTTACATATATTTGTAAGTAAGTATGAATATCTATGTGTATATAACTTTGTAATTATATTATATTTAATTTAGTGATATATACAGTTCTGTACTCCTGTAGGTCTAGACATATAAAATGATGTACTTAACAAGTGCAAGATGTTTACAGCCTTACTACCCTGCTCTAGGAAAGCCCGTAGAAGGGTAGATGTACATACTCTGTAGTTGACCCAAGGTGGATGCCATGCTGGCTTAGGCCACTTACTGGGCAATCTCTTCATCACCGCCGCACTAGGCTGATAGCTGCGTTCACATATGAGCAAATTTCGTGTTATTCAACACCGTCAAGCGAGAATTCTATAAGTGAAAGAGTGGCCGAAAAGGTACATTCAACATGAAGGCAGAACTCGTAGTAATGCCAAAAGCCTAAAGTTGTGCTAGAAAACGAGAGGAGAGAGAGAAAAGAAAATGCAAAAGTATTATCCCACGATTATCCAAAACTCGGTGGTGTATTTTCTATACACAATTGATTTTTTTAACCACGGGAGAAGAGAACCGAGACAAAGTCATCAGTATTCAGCTCAGGCATCCAGCGAGATGATAAACGACTCTTCTTTCTTAAGGGAGATTAAGGACCTGCTGTAATGCCCAAGCTGATGCTCGAACTTTGATATAATCTAAAACCCAAAACTCAATTTACAGTACTGGTCTACTAAACATTAATGATGTTAAAACAAACCGTTCAAATATAGCTCCACCAGTTGCTGGTTTGTAGTCTCCAGAAGCTCCTGGCCCTGGAGCCACAGAGGGCATGGCACGAGGTGGAACAGAGACAAGCTGTAACTCTGCTCCGGGCTCCGTGGTCTCCCTGTGACTTCCTGTATTTGCAAGAGTAATTACCATTGGTCTCGTCAGTTCGTCGGACTTAAGGAGCCATGTAGCTTCGTCTCTTAACGAAAATATTACTCAACTTCACATGAAGGTTAGCGGCCAACCTCTATTCCACAACGACATCGTTCTTAAAAATCTCAAAGCTAAGTAGCCGTCAATATGCTGAAGATAATTTGTCATAAAGCAGGAGCGTTGTCGATACTCAAACGCGCAAAGAAAACGGCCTTGAAAGCATGTCTACAAACCTCCAGAATTTGGTTGGCCGGAAGTTATAGAAAGGAGATGCTCCCCTCCATTTGCTGAAGGTAAGGCGGAGTTCATATCCCTAGGAGGCAGTGGAGTGACATTCATGACTGCCCCATACTCTGTACGAGTCTGCACATCCACAGGAGAGTAGCATTGGTGAGGTATGAAATTGGCAACTAGTATAACATGAAGTAAATAATATACAGGGGCCTTTCTTCCACTGTGTTCAACGCTAGAAATATATCTTTCAGAGTATTGCCGAACAGTAGACAGTGGTTTCCTGTGTAAGTTTCAACGCACATAGTAGGGCTTCCATGTTCAATGAAAGAAGCAGAAAAATTGACCATTATAATATACGCATCTCCTGTATTCAGACAATCACAATCGAGTCCAGAAACTTGAAGCCGTAGAGTGATCAACTACCGCCTTTGACGGAGAGCACGATGCAGAATTATAAAAACTAACACGAGCACATACAGTTCCACATCCGCTGCACCAAAGACAGAACTTGTACCTTGCAAGCGATCCTTATATTGCGACTGCCGTCCGAAGTCGAGAGTCATGAAAACAAACAAATCACCATCAGTGATGATAATCAGGAAAATCGGATGAATCAGGTGACAATCCAGAAGCTCTTCAAACGTAAAAGTAGCGACCAAACACACCTATCTAGACTACGTCATCTACTTTTAAGTGAAAAACACATTCTGCGCATGCCCTTATTTGATGGTGAAATATAGCAAGAACATTGAAAAACAAAACATCGTAGTCCATACTTCCTGCAGCGGATTTCAAGCACTTAACTATGAGCCGTCAACTTGTGAGACAAGTGATCATAACCAAAACGAAGGAAACTCATTACTGATATCTTCAACAACAAATTCGAAATAACATGTTTAATCGAAGGTTGATAAATCATCCCTCCATTTCTGACTCAGCAGCACAAGGATAATTTGGCCGAAGTCCGGACCCGTAAACACTACCAAGTAATCCTCGATTAGGGTTTGTACTAAATCACGGGTATGCAGAAATTGTAGTTTGAATTTACTAATGCATCTCGGACCGGATCAAACCCTCTGAAAACTGGCAATCTTGCACGGTGTTCAGTCTCTAGCTTCATATATGTCTTGACCCCAAATTAAACCGTATATATAAAATCCACGTTACGACGATGTTTTTTCTCGACAATGAGAATGAACGTCCAATACTTGGACTGTCCCCGTCTAGCTTGCTCGGGACTCACGAAAGATTATAACCACCACACACATTTTTTCATCGAAAAAAAATTTGTGGAAGCCAACCCAACAACATGCACAGACTACTGTCGGTCCCGATGCGACTCGATGTAGACTATGAGCGTTCTTATTTTACTTGTCTTCTTTCCGTCAAAGTAATACGGACAATGACTTCGAAGATCCCCCAAGCAATGCGGGATTGGAGTTCAGCTGACAAGCAGAAAGAGGGTGAAGTGTAAAAATGTAAACACTGGGCAATACTCTAGCCAGAGTGAGATCACCGGATGTGGCCCTAGAGAAAACCCCACACAGCTAAGATGACCTGAGCTACGATGTTCATTTACGTTGACGTAGATTATCAACAGCACGTGAAAATATTACAGGATAGCACTGAGGGAATGCGACGCGCTACCTTTGAGAATTGGCATAAATACGATCGGCGTGCGAGGCGGCAAAAAGGTCAAAAGATCTCTTCAAAGATTTTAAAGTCAATTTTTTCAGACTTTGAGGTTCTATAAAATTCGTGGAACCCATAGTGGACGGCATTTCGAAAAGTCTTCCGAGGCACAGTCTCCTCGACTCGAAGACTATCCAACTCCGTTCTCTCGGCTCCGGTCCCCAACCCTCTGGCAACTGGCACAAATCACCCGCTCCGATTCTTAAACCCCTGCTTCTTGCCCACGACCTCAAACCCCTTCCACTTCCACAATCCACTCAGCCTGTCCGGGCGCATTCTTCGAACCCACCGGCTGATCACACAACATTCGTTATCAGCTGGCTCGTCCTCGTCCCGAGATCAACAGCTCGCCCTCCGACGATCATTTCGCATCCTTCCCGCATGTCCAATCGGCCACAGCGCGGGCCTCCCAGGGCCAAATGTCCGGCAGCGCAGCTGCAAGCAAGCCTAGGTCTGCGCTGGCCATCGTCGTCTCGCGAGCCTCAGCCTCAGTCCCGCGCCATCTCCGAGCTCCTCCACTTTGGGGGACCCGTCGAATTTCCGAAACGCCCGAAGACTATGCCCCTCCAAAACCTCCCCAGCCCAGTGTAGCTGCCGGATGGCAGTAACAGACGAACATGTTAAAATCTAATTTGGATGACATGTTCGAGGATGTGTTCAATTTGTTTTTCCTTGGGCGAGAATAAGAAGGCCTGTCCTTTCGATCGAAATGATACACGGTAACTTTCTTGGTCTAAATTGTGATCTCGCACATTCAGCCTTTTATTGAATATTACTTGTGCTATGTAATCTACCTGTGGTTCAATTTTATACCTAGTATGTAGTGATGTTTGGAAGCGTTGGTACATGTAGTTTGACTTACGTTATATCTTTGGTAGGAGTTCACACATTTCAAACTATTATTGATGAACATCACCAATCGGGTCATGAAGATTTATGTACATGAAATTGAGAGGTTGTTTCAGACTAAGCGTACGTTTGTTTTCAGGGCTACTTCCACTTTCAACCTCGTGAAAAGACAGATTGCTAAACTCTCAACCCGTGAACTTTACTAGATTATTCAATTGTTGCACAACTATTGGATGATCGTGGGATGAGTATTATGAGTTCATGTTTAAGCTCACTACAACTCTTATCCGATGATGTTTGTTTGTTGATGTTCTTTGCATTTTATGAATGCGTTCCGCAAGTTCATCCTATGAAGACTTTTCTCTTCGTGTAAATTGAGGTCATGGACATGTAATTTTTTAAGGCCATATTTATTCTACATTAATCTGATACTCTCCGTGTTGATCAGAATTGGTGTACAAATTCGTTTCCAAATTATTTCAATCACAATCTTGTTGACATGATTTGAGAAAACCTCATACAATCTTTCTTCTAACGCATGATGAAGTATTCTTTCTCAAGAAGCATTTGAGGTTGAGATTGAACTTATTATATTGATTCTAGCATCTGATATACATCAACATGAAACAACAAGTATATCATAGAAATGAATGAATCATATTGATAATATGAAACTTAGTATTATGAGTTTAGATAGCACCATACAAATACATTGTTGTTTTATTAAAAAACTATGTTCTCAATTCTACAAGCGAAAAAATCATCATTCACACAAAAAGTTTAAAAATAAGCATCATTAAACTATCCTAAAAGTATACAAGTTTTCTAAATGCTTCAATTCACATTATTTATGACATTTTGTTTGTTGAATTTGTTTCAAAATTTCTTGTATTAATTCCAATCGATTTCATAACTTATATTACAATATGAAATCAATTACATCACCAAAAATATTCTTATATTTTTTTGTAATTCATTTCTTGAGAGAATTCTTATTTTGAAATTTTTCATTATTAATGAAATTTCATTTTTTAGTATCAATAAATTTTATTTTTTATCATATACACTTTAACTATATTCTATTATTATTATTTCAAAATTGAAAAGCTCCCAAAGTAGTCTTTGGTAGATTCTGCGAGTTTCATGACTCATGTGCACTCTAAGATTTTAACCTTAAAAAAGCATGAAGATATTTTTACAGTTTTTTATTAGTTTTATGAATCTTATGCTTTGCTTCTCTCCTCTCATATTTACTTCTCTTTCAAGTTTGTGATGTAAAACTCTCTTTCTACAATCTTTCCGTGCTTAATATTCTAGTTGGAAATCTTTTAATTTTTGTAAATTTTGTTTGCCAATTGCTTGTATAATGCCATGTCGTTTTATTGATATGAAGGCAAAACAAGACAGATAATTCATTCTCATGTGAAGAGTGAACTGAAATAAAATCGTCGCAAACTAGTCCACATTGCACAAAGTCATTGAAAGCCCAGAAATGGAAGTGACACAATGCAAATCAAATGAAAGAAAATGAGTATGTCAAGCATGTTGAGAATGAAGATGAGTACGCATTTACAACTTAACATGGATATTATTCTAAATTTTTGAATCATGGATTTTGAAATAACAAAGCACATGAAATATTGGAGAAAGTTATTTGACACATATGGATAAATTATATCACGCAATGTGAATTTGGATGATTATAATGTTTTGCAAGTTATTGAAATGGGTTGCATTGTTGTTGAAATGCTTGAAAGTTGATGTGTGGAGTGAAAATGATCACATCTTTCATGTGATCAAATTGCAAGTAAAATTATTCTCAATGAGCAAATTTATGGTTGGGGTATTCAAGATGAAATCAAATGTGGATGTATACACATTAAAAGCATCAAATGAAAATGTGCTTGGATTAGTACTATGTATAATACTCAACTTCAAAACTTGGTAAGTTTAGTACAATATTATACAGTATTATACATAATTGAATCTGTACAGTGATCTAACGCATAAGATGTTACATTTATTCGTTTAATCCTCATATACCTACATGTTTCTACCCTCACAAGCACTACTACGGCACTGAAATAACAAGCTCGAAGGTACACTGTGAAAGGTAGCGTGGGAAAAATCCACATACTGTCAATGTGGGTTAATCTGAACTAGTCGTTTTTTTCCTGTAATCTATAATAAAAATGCATCAGTGAATAATGTAATCTACTATAGCAATTACAATTTTTTGGGGATCTAAGGTGCAGATTTTCTAACAGATTCGTGCTGGCGAAATCCACACTCTATTAGGTGAAATGATCTGGATTGCGATTTTGTGTTTGCTTTGAAATTATTAAAAGACAATGATTGATATGTATTTTAGTATCACACTATAGTAAAATCAGGTAAACTTCTCTCATCTTACATCAATCATAATTTTTTCAAATATCATTACAATTCAAGGGTTTTTTTTCCTAATTTCTTACTTAGAATTTCATCAATCATTGTCACAGGTAAATAACTTTGTTTGTATAAATTATCAAATGCTTTTATTTTGCAATTTTGAAAGCTGATTTTTTCCGCTCGGTTTTTCAGTCCTTATGACGAACAGATTATGAACTTGTACTTTGATTGATTTCAAAAACGCAACCGATAAAGACAAGAACCGATATGTATCTGAGGCATGAAGTGACTATTTCTTGATGCCATATGATTTAATCTAGAAATCATGTACATAACCTTTTTCCTTCCCAAGCATATTCCTAGAAGTATGGATCTGAAGTAGTTAATCTAGATTGCGATTTTGTGTTTGCTTTAAAATTATTTAAAAAAAATGCATGGCATAAAATTTTAATATCACACTACTGTAAAATCAGATTAACTTAGCTCATCTTACATATCATAATCTTTGAAGATATCATTATAGATCATGGGCTTGTTACTCTAATTTTTTCCTCATAATCTCTTCAATCATTGTCACAGTTACATAGCTTTGTCCATATGGATTTTCAAATGCTTTTATTTTGCAATTTTGAAAGCTGATCCGCTGGAATATTCATACTTTTGATTAAATCCAAAAGATCATATACAGAACTGTTTTCCTTCCCAATCATTTGCCTGTAAGTATTTCATGCTATAAATCAGTTACTTTTGCTAGAAAGAGCACTAAAAGGTACAAGTCTTAGCAATTTTAGACAGTTGAGAGAAGAAATTCAATTAAAAATATCTTGTAAAATTGCACTCTTAGTTTAGGATTGAGTTTGCAAAACTTGGAGATTTGGATTGCCAATTTGTGTGGATTTCAATTGCATTTTTGGATTTCAATTAAAATTTGATATTTTGAATTTTGATTGCAATTTCATATCGCCATCTATCATGTCTAACAAATCAATGTCTGCACTCGGCGGCCGACCTCGGCACCCTACACGGATTCTATTTAATTCTAACAAGTTTGATATAGACAATGAAAAGACCTTGAAGATCAGATGCCTACAAGTGCAATTCAGCCATCACGACCAAGGTCTATTGGTTGGAAGCGCATCTAATTACATGCACAAAGCATCCTAAATGTATGATTGGCTTGATTGACGTTGTGTCACAAATGCAATCCAATGATGGCACGATTCGGCTCAAGTCTTCATCATTGTCAACAGCTAGCGGTTCGTCAAAGAATAAAGCCAAGTTGAATCAGTCGTCGGTGGATGCGGAAAATGAGGAGATTGTGCAGTCTGTATCGCCCCACATATCAACAAATCTTTGTCGAGCCAATACATGTCTTTTGTTGATTCTTTTTCAATATATGATCATACTAATCTGGATAGTACGTTTGAAAATGCAATGCATCATACGTTTACTCCATTCACTTTCTTCGAACATCCATTATGGAAGAAATTCTTCAAAGTGCTTTAACCTGTTTCGACTCTTTTTACTTCCCAAACTATTGGCACCACTCTATCGATGTCTTCGTACGCAGATGTCATGAACAAGGTATTTTGAAGTCTACGACAATATTCTTCCATTTGCTTCTCTCTGGATGATGTCACAAACGTGCAAAGCATGCAGTTATTGAATATAATGACATGTGTTCCAAAAAAATAAATTCCTACAACATTTTGCAATGAAACTGCGCCGAGAGAATGCTCACAATCTTCTGGCCAAGTTAATGGAGACGAAGAAGCAATTGATGGTGACTTTAGCTGATCCAATTGCAGATGTGGAGCAAAGCTAAGATATACAATCACTTCTTCCTAAGCCATTGACTGAAATTATGTTTTCATTTACTTCAGATAGTTCATGTGTAATGGCTTTGCTTCGTAGGAAGGTGTTGCAGTTGCCAGATTTCAGAGTTGCATTTGGCTGTACTCCACCTGGTTTGAACAATTTCTTATTGGATATTTTCAAGAAGTTTGATATTTCAAAAACGAGTGTTAAGAAGTCTATATACCTGGTGAAAACCATTCGTAGTACTCATCTAATCTACTCTCTCTCTATGACACCTTGTGTAAAGAAAAACTTGGAATTGCTTATGTGCTCATTATATTCATCAAATCTCGTTGGACCACAAGCTTGTATATGTACGATCGGTTGAACTTGGTCAAGATGGTTCTTTTTCTTCTTCCTTCTGCCATATCTGTTGATGAATTGGACTTAGATATTTGATGAAATTGTGAAGCAGTGGGTTCTAGATTTCATCTTCTG